CTTCTACATACTGGTGTATTAACCATTACAGAAACATAAAAAATGAAAAATGAATACTGTTAACTTAAGGCAGCTGTGGCATAAACCTTACATTTGGTGGTGGTCTAATAAATTTATTGGGCACTGTATATATACAGTTGAAACCAGAAGTTTACATTCCTGTAAAAAAAAAAAGACATATAAACTTTTTTTCCCCTCACTGTCTGACATTAAACTTTTCCACTTTTAGGTCAGTTAGGATTACCAAGATTACTTCTATTTGCTAAAAACCAGAAGTGTTGTATCTAACAAAAAAACAACCTTATTTAATTTCTATTCAATGTGTGCACAATAAATCACGTGATATGTCAATGTGTAAATACAAACTGAAATCTATAAAGGAATTTCATTAAAATTGATTTCTTCTTGCAGAATCTCTTTACCTTCATGCAGTGACACAATTAAATGCTCCTTCTGTGTTTTATAGAGGAATGATGGCGCCTCTTAGTGGTGACTACAGAGAAAAGCAGCCCTCTGTTTCAAAAAGAGTTTGAAAAGCACAAAGGGACACTTGATGTTATTTTTAGCATAAATGGACCAACACCAACACTTCATTATTTTTAATTGGCTTTCTACCAACTTTCAGTTTGTTTTTTTGCACTTTGAAATTTGAGAGTACGTTTGAACGACAATATCTGAGGAAATAAAAAAGACAAAAGTCTGACATTTTTCATTGTTATTTTTCATCATGCAGTTGATTCAGAATTTGTAAAACTTAACAGGTACAATTTTAAATATTAAAAGTTCATGAGAAAAATGTTTCAAGCAGAAGGTCGAACAGAAGGCCTTTGTTATTGCAATTTTTCAATGTCGAGTCAGTTCAGTGGATGGTTTATTTGATGAAATCCAAAGATGAGCATACTGGGGTTTTCCTATAGTGAGTTTAATATACCTCTGTCCTCGTCTGTTTGCTGGTCTGATGCTGGTCTGGTGAGAACTGTGTGCCCTCCCCCTACCTGAGCCTTCCTCTTCCTGTCACCTGTGCCCTCTACATATAGAGCCTGTGTCTAACTACCGACACCATGTGTCCAAATAATGCAAAGTAAATAACCTGCCAACAATGAACAGAAATGGTTCCTACAGCATTTAAGATGGAATAACCCACAGGGGTGAATGACATAATGAATGATGGCTGGACTCACTGTCTCGCTTTCAGGACTTTCACTGAAAAGGATGCACAGCAAATCTTTAATGTTAACGCCTGTACTTATACTTCTGTGGCAAGAAAAGTCCTTTTAACATTGTATTGTAGTGTTTGCAGTTCAGTACAAAAAACGATCGAGGTGGTGCAGCCTTAATATGTGTATGTCTTAATAGTGGCAGGGCTGTGACCCTGCTACACTTTGCACTGGTATTCATGACATGGTGTCGTGTTCATTCACATTGATCGATTATCAGTTCAAATGTATTCTACCATCTGTTCAGTTTTGACATGTGGTTTAATTTGGTTTGTTTGCATTTTAAAGAACAAGACAGAGCAGCAACATGAAGAACTGGACAGCAAACAAAACACTTCTGTTGTTAGTGTTAATATTACACCTTGTTTAGCCATAATTTAAGAGACAGCCTTTTTATTTCAGCAGAAATGTTTTCACAGACACTAGCTCAAGGACAAGCAGCAATGCATGATGGTCTAAGTCGATCGAGGTAGGGGACAGCTTCTGTACACTTTATATTGATGATGATTTTGTGGTGCATTAGAAAGTGGATGAGCACTAATAAATGGCCACTGTTGGAAACATTTGGGTTAATGCAAGTACACAAGTCTACTAAATGAATAACACAAATATGACATAATATACCTTTAAAAAGTCTGCAGTATGCAATTTTAAGACAGTTTATTCAGTGTGAAATATTGCCTCTGGTTGTGTCGTCCTCCAGCATCTATGTAAACACACTTCATCGTGGCAGCTCTGTTCAATGACACATCAGTGGAGGAAGTTTATGTGGCTGCATCTTGGTCGAAAGTTCATCAGTTTTCCTTTTCCGTCATGTTAAGCTCTGCTATCCTGCAGGACATTTCACAATCAAGATCCCTCCTCTTCCTCCTGTGCAGCAGGTATACGGGTTGTAGCAAAAAGGAAAGAGAAAACAGACAGAATAGCCCTTTTCCCCCCTACTGGGACAGGAAGTGAGGTGCTAAAGCAGACACACCTGGTGGCTGGGAGCTGCTAGTAAAGGCAACATGGAGGACAGTGAAGTTGGATAAAGGAGATTTCAGGAAGACCAATTTAACTTCTGGTCGTGTTTGCTTCAAATTGGGATATATTAAAGTAAATGTGGTGGATTTAGAAACCCAGAACCAGCTGGATGTATGAAAATTGTCCACAAGAAACTGCAACTGTGAGGATATCTCTTCCACCACCTCTTCGGCCTGCTCCACCTGCTGCTGCTTGGATGCCGGTGCCTTTTTTGAAACCTGGTTGAGGTAAGTCTTGTTTTTTCTTCCAGGTTTCTCCTATTTTCTGTTGCCTCAGTTTAAGGGAGCATTTCCCTTCATACAAGCCTCTATTACCCTCCTTAGCTCTTCACCAACTCTTCCATACCTCACATAAACTCACCCACGCCTCCTAAAGCTGAGCTGAACTGATCATTTCTGGTACTGACGCTATTTGGAAGTATTTGTTTTCCTCTCAAGGATGCTGAACTACATTTTGTTCTGTTTCTGAGCTTGAATTTGTATTCTGCTGAGTTAACGGGCCTGTGTGTATGAGCTGTTCTTGTGGTTGATTATGATTTAAGTTGTATTTAACCTGATTTAAGTATTGAATTTGAACTGATGGCAATGTTTCTCTTCTGTCCTGGTTGGCGCTATCCAAGCTACCTTTCTCATTTGTTTTGGGGAATATGTTCACCCCCCTGTGTCAGGCATCTAACTCCTTTTGAATATTAGAGAAACTACAAGATCAGGTGTTTCAAGCTTTCTGTTGATGTGACGACAAAACCACGAGTTCATCTGTGACGTGTATTTCAACTGTAGCTGGAGTTGTGACCGTTCAGACTGGTACACTGGTGCTTATAGATTTGAAATGTTTTTGCAAGTTGAGATTAAGGGTCGAAGGTTTTGGTGGACATGTAGCTTTGTGGAGACACATCTGGTGTCTTCAGGGTCAGCAGATGACAAAAAGACCTACAGCGGCAGAGTGGTGTCTGGCAGCATGGATGCTTGTTACTATGATAGAGTGACTGCTTCTCTCTGCGCTGAGCTGTGAGAGTCTGCTTTCCTTTTCATCGCAGCATTTGGTCTTTGAATGGCAGCCTGGGTCGGTACAACGGGTACACAGACATCATGACAGCGGGAAGACATGTGCAGGCTTTTATTGAAGAAGAGGAAACTTCACACGTAAAATCGCAGATGGCACAGAACTTCTCCCACATCAGATCATACAGACTGTCACCACTCTGTGCCGACACCTTTGCTTACTCTTTGGGTTGGATATCAGCCTCATTAGTTGGGTCACTACTCAATGAAGTTCTCTTATTTGCATTTGGAGAAAAGGTGCAATAATTAATGGGATTTTTATTTTTTATTTTTTTGGAAAAATCTTTAGAGGAAAGCTTTGGGTTGTAAAAATAAAGTTTTTAAAAGTGTGAAAATAAGAGAACAAAAAATGTCTGTTTCTAATGCTAGAAAAGATAAAAATCACATTATAATCTGAAGTCATATTAGACTCCTGCTCGTCTCTTTACACACTAAACACAAATGATTACATTTACAGACTATTATCTATACAGACTTTCAAAATTCTCATGATGGTGATCTGTTGAAATGAACAAATGCCTTTGGGTCTTTTGTGTATTTCATTTTTGATTTATAAGATCAGGATTTTTCATGATTTTGCATCTGCATAAACAGAATCATCACTCTTGAAGGTATAGTTTAGGAAAATATGCGGCTTTGCAAAGTTAGTCAAGAAGATTGTAATGACCTCCACATGTGCACATCTGTACCAACCAGCCAGTCAGCTGGTCAAACACAAGTTGGATTTCTTTTCAAACTTGGTAAAAGAGAAACGTTGCTGCATGTCATTCTCTAACATATTAAACCATGAACTCAGTATACTGTTTCTGACTTTTTTTCTGCTGCAGTTCAACCATAAGATGTGCGTCAACTCTCGATTTAGTTCATTTGCTGAGGCGGTTTGAAGCTCATGGAGGCCTGCATGGTCGTCTTTACACTGATGAAGTGATGCATGTGTTTGCAGTTACTATGAATACAAGATGGTTAATAAGAACACATAATGAACTGCTGAAAGAGATGAATGAGTCAACAATAAATCATTTTAGAGAAGAATTTAGCATTCATCTGTAAAGGTCTGTGCATGTATTTACTAGTTTTAGGTCACAGATGTTGCATGACACGTTTGCAGATATGTGTTTATTTCATTTACTTCTCTGAGACCCCCTGTGAATGATGATGGTGTGTAAATAGGTGCTTGGCCTTTTGTTTTCATTTAGATGTAGATGAGGAAACCTTTCACAAGATGCTGCTTTAGAGGAAAATGTAATGATAATGAATGTAAAGTCCTGCTAGCAGCTGCAGGCTTGAACCACAGAACAGATCAACAGTAACACCCTTGAGGCCGTGTGCTCTCAGTGTTAGAATAGAAGAACTATTTATGAATAAGTGTTGCTGTGTCTTGGGCATAATTAAAGGCCCTGCAGAATGAAGCACTTTTGAAGGACTTTTTTTTTTAATTGAATTTTTTTTTAACATCAGTATGACTTCAACTTTTAGCACATGAAACTAATTTTTAGCATTTTTCTCTGATGTTGATAAAAAAAATAAAAAATTCTGAATACAGTGTTAGCATATTGGTAAATCTCATATACAACATATTAAAAATAAGATGGCGGCGCGCAGTGGTGCAGCGGCTTCTCGAGCTCCCGGTACTAAACCGTATTTAGATACTTTAGCGGCCGCCATTTTTTCAATACACAAATATTTAGTGTTTCACCGCTAATTTCGACTTTCCTATTTAATGTTTACATTTTACTGTAGCACACTCATTTTTTACTATAGTACACTTATTTGCTTGTGTTTTTACCTTGCTTGTATCTTTGCTTACATGCTGCTCTTGTTTTACCTTGTACTTATTATTTATTAGGCTTTTTAAAAACCGGGACCTGAGTACCGATTTTCGTTTAACAAACATGTAAATGTGAGCTGGCATGACAATATAAGCTCCTTGAATCCTTGAACACATAAGCAGGTACCTAACTGTACATTCCTCTGTGGAACGACCATTTACACATAAAAACTGTACGTTTTACTTAAGATTAAAAAAAAATGTTTGAAGGATGTCATGTAAAATCCCGGGAAGATTCTTTCATTTGTCTCAAGAACTATTATGACAAGATCAATGCGTTAAAAGTAAAAGAAAACCTTATCATGACTTAGACAACAAGCTCCATTTAAACTTCTTTTTAATTGGATCACACATTAACACTGTTAGAACTGTTTCATCAATGTGAAAATACATGACATGATGTAGTTTCGCCACTTCTGTGAAGTTAAATTAACAAATTTCAGTCCTGTGAGGCCAAGAGCTGTTCCACGTGCTCCTCACAGTAGCCGGAGCAAACTCTTTTCATGATTTACCTTCCGCAGCCTCTTTTCCTCTGAAGCATGTTGAGTCTCGCAGCATTAGATCCTCTTGTTGATTCTTTTAAAAGTCACACCCTTCTCTCCTGGAGTTACACAAGTCTGCACAGCACGGTGTGGGAAAAAGAGAAGTGAACATGATGTGGGAACACAATTTCAGAAACTGGAACTTATATTGAGGTCATTAAAGTTATGAGTAAGCATTAGTACACTGTGAAAGTCACATTTTATTTATTTTTTTTAACCCATAATTGTAAATGTTGCTGCACTTCTTTTTTTCTTTTTTTAACAAAACCTGATAAAATGTGGTCATTCAATAGCTAGAAAGTGTCATTTTTCAGATTGTTCAAACAGATTTTGTTCCCTCATATCAGTTCAGCTTGTTATTATGTCACAAAAAATTGACATGCAATCCCAAGTAAATAAATGGTTGCTTCTCTTACCATGACTAGCTTGTCATCAATGATCTCTGCTGTAAAATGGTACTGAGGAAACTGTATTGTAATCTTTCCACCTTCCATAGTTACAGGCGCCTGTAGGGCACAAGGACAAAAGGTCACAGACAGCTTAGTTGCAACACTGGGTCAGATTTTCTAGTAATTTCTCATTTCCTTCTCATGAACCCACCTTGAACTTGGCGCCCGTCATTGTCGCCAGCTCACACTCCTGACCAACAGTGAACTTGTTCGACCAGGTCCAGTTGGGGATGGTTTGTGTCCAGGTGAAGTCGTTTCCATCCTGGGCCACCTCTGTTACCACTTTGTGGTCGGTCTTGGCGCTGAGAAGCCCTGTGACAAAAGTTCCCCCCAAAAAATCAGCAAAGTTTCAATGACATGTGACTCATATGAACCCACATGCTGCAGCTGAAGCATCAATGACTTACCGATCACTTCCAGAAACTCCTCGTAGTTCTCTTGACTCTCGAGCTCGTATTTTCCAGCGAACGCCATGATGCTGAAGAAGAAGCAAAGAAATAAGGAAGGAATTTATGAGTCAAGAAAGGAGTGGCCTGTTTGCAGATACTCTCCTCTTTCTTTGCTCCCATGTGTCATCCCCACATGACTGTGAAAAAATGCTGGTGGTGTTTTTCCAAGACATAATTGTCACATTGTTTTAGCGCTAAAAAAAATAAAGTATGTCTCTGCTCCTGTCGGCATGCGGTTTTTCCAGCACCTCTGCGATGTGAACGACACTTGGTCTGCAAGTTTGAGCATGTGTAGTGCAGTGAAATGCTCAGAACATAGTATAGGGCTCATGTTTCTAATATCCTTTAAATAGAAGTCATGTAGGTCTTTTCAACTGTTGGAAATCTTTGTGCTTCAGGGCTTCATGTGACGAAATAACTTTCTTGCGCTGAAGTTAGCAGCCGCAGTTAAAGCACTTTATATTTCCTGTTGTGAGCTGTCTGAAGAACTGCAATAAAATAAATAAATTAAAAAAAAGAGACCAAAACAACCTTCAAAAACATCTTTACCACCCTAACCCTGCACACAATGAACATAACTGTGGGCTACAATTATGGCTGAACAATTGGCATTTGAGCAATTTGTCAGAGCTTGATTGACAAAGATTGTTTGCTCTGTATACTGTCAGAAAACAATGAAAAAAACAATCCAAATGTTCACATTTTGCTTGATTTTTTTGACATGCCATCTGAGACTAAAATGTAAAAAATAAAATAAAATCTTGCAGATTAACAGAAACGCTGATTTATTCTGAAGTTATTCAGGACTTCTTGCCAGCTCGATGCTGCTTCCTGACCAGAGGGTCTCTCACCTCGCACAGCGGTGGCTGCCTCATCATTTGATGTCAAACGGAATGTGTGAATAGTGAAGGAGAAATGTGGGAAGTGTCTGAATAGAGCTGTGAGATAAGAAAAAGGTAGATTAGTTGAGGTCTAGACCTTTTCCTTTCAGGTGGAATCTGTGAGAGAAATTGAATAAATGCCTGTGAAAATATGGAGCTCTTATTTATCTGCTACTCTGCTACCTGTAACTCTTGTTTACCTTCTGACCTCCTTTATTCATTCCACTCTTGCTCGCAGAAAGTGGATGAAAAGACAGTTTCCGGAGAAAAGTCTGTCTCCCTAAGTGCACCGTGGAAACTAATCAGATAACAGCATGTTCCACATTTAACACATCCAGTGAAAGAGTAACGACTTGAGCACACTAAAATACATTTGTAAGGTCTATACCTTACCACTTATGTGATGACATATGTTGTAAACTGCGCTATACAAATAGAATTGAACTGATATATATATGTGTGTGTGTGTGTGTGTGTGTGTGTGTGTGTGTGTGTGTCAAGCATAGATATGTATAATACAGGCTAGATGTCTTGATTCGGGGCAGCTCTCTGGTGGAACCTGTGGTACGTGAAGGAAGGTGAGTGATCTGCACAAACGGAAATACTCTCAGTTTCCTACGGTTTGGTTTCCTACAAACGTTATTAAGTGGCTACAATTCAAATTACAAAAATACAAATAAAATAAAAACAATAATTCAAATTGTTTCTGGCTGTGAGAGTGTAACATAATTATCCATAAGTGCAGTGTTATAGCTACACCTCTGACGTTTATAACAAACCAAACTGTGGTAGAAAACTGAGCAGGTCATGGTTATTTAAAAAGTACATGCAGCACTACAACACAATGTTATGGGTAAGCGAGCGGACCGAATCAAGATGGCTGCCAGTGTGGCCGTGCGATTCCACTGGCTGACAGCGCGGACGAGACATCTAGCCTTTATCATATATATCTACGGTGTCAAGGCCCAGATTGGAATCTGTCCTGAGTCAAGATTGGGCCGGCCCATATCAGAATTCTATTCTAGGCCAACCTGGAATGGAATCTTCATTTTTTTCCTACGAATTCCTAGATTGGAATTCTGATCCTGTCCAGCCCAGATCAGAATCTTGGCACCAACCTGGCCCAGATTAGAATTCTGATCTTGGCCGGCCCACATTGGTATTTGACTTGCTGGCCCAGATCAGAATCTTGGAATTATTATTAGTCACATGGGGTGTTGACAAACATGCACGATTCAACAAACACACACACACACACACACACAAATCTTTTAATACTTTACAAATTATAGAATTTAAAGCAACAATAAAGCAATAATACAGTATAAGAAAACTACTTCTGATCCAGAATCGGGCCGGATTCCAATCTGGGCCTTGACATAGTTTTTCTGGCTCAGAATGGGCCTTTAAAGGTCAACTGCGTCCATGTGCAGTAAAGACAACGAGTCTGTGTCCCCTTATTTGACAGAAATGTCAATTCATGCATTTTCCTGTTATTTCTGACCATTTGATCATTGAAATGTTCGAGGAAATGAAACTACAATAGTAAAACTGGTTAAAAAAATATGTTCTCAATTCCTCTCAAAGATTATTGCCTGACGTTTATGGACATATTTACAACACTCTTGTCCTTAAGGACTATTCGCTTATGATGAGTTCTGGTGCTTTTCACGTGTTCATTAGTGATGTATAGGTGCTGGCAGGAGATGGATGTTACTGTTGGACAGAGTCAGGCTAATTGTTCAGTCTCTCTGCCCAGATAAATCTTCGTGAACAGACTTTAGAGTGATAAATACGTCAAGGTGATTTTGACCATCTATTGTTTTTCGAATGTCTGTAGTTGTTTGTGCTTCTAAAGTGGATGCTATTCTGTGTGGACATGGTTCACAGCAGCCACTCAACTTCACTGATCTGGTGCCGACTGGCCTGCAGACTATTTTCTAATTCAATATGAAAATAAACTGATTCACACAGGGATTTTTTTAAATGTTTGTTTATACAGTAAGTGTTCAGTAATTTCCCGTAGCTGTTTCTCAGCTGACTTGAAAACCAATCATTTCAAAGAAAGAATTCATTTATTCATTAGATCGGATAAATATCATTGTTTGTTTGCTAACTGGCCTCTGGCTGTGCGTGCTTTTACAAAAGTGGCCTCCAGGCAAAATAGAGTTGAATATCCCTTTTTCAGAATGATGGCTTCTCTCTTCTTTCATATTGTTCATTTATTTAAACCTCACACAAAGCAAACAGATTGACTTGTAGAGGAGAAATCAGTATTTTGCATTTAGCAGCTACAACTACATTTTACTGCTGCGTTTACAAACTTTGCTCGTTTATATACAGCATAAGAAGGCTATATATTAAGTTTGTGTTTTTGTATTCGTTTTATGTCTCAGCAGAGTTTGTAGCCCACACATCTATCACCTGGGCTGCTTCTGAATCAGTTCCTCCTCCATGTTCCTCCTTTAACTCCTGAATGATCTGCACCTTCTTCACTTTTTCCATCATTCTGTTTCTACTCTTGCATCCAGAGTTTCTTCCTCGCCCGTCTTCGATATGACGACTCTGTTTCGAAGGTCTAGTGTCCTGAGATGTGCTGAAGCTTAACATAGTGTCAAACACTAGTCGTATATCAACAAATGAATGCTGTCTGGTTGCAGACTACGAGCTGTGTTTCACTTAACTTAAACTATTAACAACAAAGCAGAAAGACTCGCGTAAGGGCTCATAACTAACCTACTTTCCAGCCTTTCATTCGACACAGAAATATTTTTGATTAGCATCTTATATGTCCACTAAACTCTGATTCCTGCCTCCTGGCTGCAGCACAAATCCCTGCACAGCACGAGTGAGCGGTGGATGGATGTAGCTCAGTGTTATTGGGATTCACTGGCCAGACATTGTGATGCAACATTGCAGTGTAAAAAAACAAAAAGCATGTGATATTCTAGGTTTTTGCAGATGAAACTGATGAAGACTAATCTCACTTTTAGGGCACTATACGGTGTAAGGTCTGTGTAAATGCTATTTTAGAATTTTAAGAGGTTGATGGTGTGTTTAGCCTCCACTACAGTCTCGAAATATTATCCCGGTCATGTTGTCAGGTTATCTCTGCCTAGAAATGAGACTATAAATTAGCTTTTTAGAGTTTAACCAAAGCTACAGACTAAACGTCAGGGTATCTTGACCTCTGCTGCACTGATCTTGATCATTTAAAAACAAAAAACAAAAAAAAACATACCTCTCTAACTAAGAAGTCAGCTAGGTATTGGTTCCCTATAATGAAAGCAAAACAAGAAAGTCCTCCCTCCCAAGAAAAACAAAAGGGCCAATACACAATGATCATTTTGAAATCAAGGTAAGCTTTTTTGTGTTTTTGCCTACCAAAGTGTGATTAAATCCAGATCTGCTCTGAGTTGCTCATAGAGAATTCTACAGTCGAACATGCTTTTAAATATACAACTGAAGTTTTTGCTGAGGGACTCGAGGGCTGAGTTCTGACAAGAGGTACCGGCAGAGACCGGCATGATGCTGTAGGCCCTCAGAGGACACACCATTTTCACACAGAAGAAAGAGAGCCAGCAAAACAGGAAGACCACTGTAATGAAACCCAGCCTTCCTTCAGACAGCGCCTCTCCATTTGAGGCCCGCAGTCGGTCCTCTTTGGGCTCAGATTCATCTGAAGCTGCAGGACGAGCTGCTCGATTGCATGGTTGCATCTCTCTCGCCCCCAGACAGCCATGAAAACGTTCCCATAGGCAAGCAGCATGACATCAATGCGATTGAAGGAGCAGACAGCAGAGCTTGCAGGGCCATAAGGGACATGAAACATAAGTCTGAGTATCGTGCTGCTGCTGCTGCTCAACACAGCAGGAGGCCACTGATTGTACATCCTGAAGAGAGGGAGATGACCACAGACAGAATCCAGCAGAGCAGCAGCTGCATGGCCACACATCTGGGAGACATTTTGACAGTGCACCGCGGGGGGTGGCACATTATTACACCGCAAAAAAAACAAAAAACAGAACAAAACATTAAAAAAAACTGCAGCAAAAATAACACAAAATAGCTGTCTCATAAAAACAACAGCATTTTTTTTGATTATTAAAACACATTTTCTAACCTTTATTTAACAAGAGAGCATGCATATTGGTTGGCTTTTTAATGTTAAGTGTAAGGTAAACTAAAAAAAAAAAAAGCAATATGCAGTATTTTTTATTTTATTTTATTTTTTTTACAAAGCCCAGATAAAATGTTAAGACTGTAGTGGAGCCTGAACTCAAGTAAACACCATCTATCAACCTCTCATACTGTGAAATAACAGAATTTTTGTAAATGCTCAAATTTATAGATAATTCACACTGATAAAAGCACATTAATTCAATATTTTTTAGCGTTTTGTAAAGAAATCTTGTGTAATTATACAAGATTTTTTAACAAACACATCTATGTAAAATTGTATTGATTTAATCTAAATTTAGAAATATATATATAGTATTTAATTTGAAGTTAACAGTTTCATCTATAAAAAAAAAAGAGCTTTTTTGGAATTATGCTAACTTTGTGAATGTATTTTAAGTCTGTTTATGTATCACGTATGTACTCAAATGTCCCCCCCAAAGAAAATGTTATGTTTATTTGCAGTTACAGCTATTTTACATTAGACATGTAAACTCAGTTTATTTTTTGTATTTGTATTTTGTGTATTTCGTTTTAATTTAAAGTACATTAGAATATTGTGAAAAAGTGTAATATTTTCCATCAGTTAATTAAAGTGAAAAGCATTTTTCTGCTTTGATTTTAAGAATTATGGCCAACAGCTATTTTTTTAATCTTTTTTAAAGGAATCTCTAAATATTAGAATGTTTAATTTTCAGTAAACTACTATTCAAACAGTAAATACTGTGTATCTCTGTGGCCAAGTTCAATACAAACAACTACAATCATGGGGATGACTCCTGACTTAAAAGTTGCCCAGAAGATGATCTTGGCAGAGCTTCACAAGCTTAGGCTGGTGTCAGTGCATCAAGAGCTACCAAACACAGACGTTTTCAGGAAAGAAGTTAAAACTTTCACATTCCTAATACGGAGACACTCCTAAATCAGAGACGACGTCACACTATCTTACCTGGACTAAAAAGAAAACCTGAACGGTTGCACAGTGGTCCGAAGTCCTCTCAGATGAAAGTAAATATTGAATTTCATTTGGAAATCTAGATCCCAGAGTCTGGAGAAGAGCTTGAAGTCCAGTCTGAAGTTTCTTCACTCTGTGATGATTTCAGGTCTTGTGTCATCTGCTGGTGTTGGTCCACTGTGTTTTATCAAGTCGTGCACCATATTTCAGGGGATATTAGAGCCCTTCATGCCCCCATCTGACAAGCTTTGTGAAGATGCTGAATCGTTTCTCAGCAGGTCTTAGCACCTGGCCACAAAAACTACTGCAAAGTGGTTTGACCATGGTATTACTGTGCTTGATTGGCCAACTCACCTGACCTGAACCTCTGTCAAAACGTAGACCACAAAATACAGACGAGCCGGAGGCTGCTATCAAGTCAACCTTTGCTTCCAAAACACCTCAGCAGGGCCACAGGTTGGTTGCCTCCATGCACTAATTTGTGGTAAAGGAGCCCCAAGCAAGTATTAAGTGTGTCAGTGAACATACTTTTCAGAAGTTAGACATTTATGTATTGTTTTTCTGATTGATCTTTGGAAATATTCTCATAATAGGAGATACTGGATATCTGATTTTCACAAGCTATAAGCCATAAGTACGCCACTAGTGTGTGTTGGTCCTGTGTCTAAAAAGGCATCAGCAGCAGTGTAACCAGAAAGTCTGTCACTGGCAGGAAACCACAAAGACATTAGTGGGAATCTGGAATGTGATCATGTCTCACTGTTTAATTGAAACCTGTCTGTTTCTTCGCCACATGTCCTGTGATGCTCAGCAGACTCTCTCGTATCGGTCTGTTCATGTGTCTGCTTATGTCCAGTATTGAGTCACTGTCAAAACAAAGCCCAGCAGGAGTAAATGATTTAGTAGCACACACCAGGAATCAGTGAGCCATGAGGTAACAGAACAGGTATATACCGTTAGCGGTCGTATAATTAGGCTGGGATCATAGGTACACATCTATACAATCAATAAACTCTTGTTTTTGTATCTGCCCACTGGAAATCTTCCTCTAAATACCAAACAAGCATCTGCTCTTTACCTCAGATACTAAACCCTGCCCATTTCTTCACTCAGGACACAGCAAATACCATCCATTGCTGCTAATTCAGTAATAACATTGAGGTTGACCTGTATGATAAAGCATAATCGTACAAATTCTTTTCAAATGGGAAACAGAGATTAAAATTTTGCCTTCAAGCAGCATTTGAACAATGTTCTAATTTTATTTCTCGATCACATTTCTACAAACATACAAACAAGATGATATCTGATGATTGTGCGCACAGCAGATAAAACAGGTTATACTTTATTTTCACAATATACCATGAAGATATCAAGTGACTGCAACAGAAAGGTGATCATTTGTCATATCACACTTTTTTTTTTTTTTTACACGAGGTCCTTTGTCACGTTCAGGCTTTTTACAAGGCGGACGTGAAGTTTTTTATTTTTTTTTTAACTGAAAAGGGTGAAGGAAAGAGTGTGTTGGATGGGGATTGAAATGAGGCCCTTTTCCTTCACGTTTGACTTTAATTAAATCAAAATGCATGCACAGGTTTCTTTCCAGTCCGAGGAAGGCGGCAAACAGCGATTTTGATTAACTGTCTCAAACCCACTACAGTCCATTGGAAGAAAACCTTCCTGTCTATGTCAATCACCGATACAGTAAAGTAGAACAAAATATCCGTGATACAGCAGCATAGTCAACATACTTCACCTCACACTGAGCACGACTGACAATGAGTCCACTGACTGACGAATGATCATGGGACCATGTACAGTGAGACCTGTGAAATCCTGCGTCCACACTATGTTTGTGACTGTAATCCTGAACCAGTAAGTCACAGCTTAGCAAGACACCGCAGTCACACTTTGTCATCAGGCACCATGCTGTCTTTGTTGACCCCTCCCTTGTCTTTATTCCTCCCGAAGGAGAAAGAAAAAACTCCCCCAGTGGTCTCCTCAACTGCTTTCCCTCCCCTCAGTGCTACCTGCTGGCAGTCTGCAGGGCTGCCGGGCAGCAGGTTTGGTGTGGAGGGAGTCGGGGTGGTGGCTCCCCAGATGTATAACGTCTCCCCCTCCGGACAGGGTGGCAGACCCTTGGTCAGGTAGCTGGGGCTCGGACTGGCCGAGGACGGCAGGGTGCGCTGGCTTCCGTTCAAGCAGCTGGAAGTGTGATCCGTGGAGCTTTTGCGCGAGTTCACTGAGGAGCCGAAGTTAGAGGAGCGGTAGTTGTAGGCTCTCCAGCCGGGACGTTTACGCTGGTGACACTGGCACTTTAGGATGCGGATGAAGGCCAGCTTGAACTCACGGTTGTAGCAGGGGTAGATGATGGGGTTCAGGCAGCTGTTGAAGTAGCCAAGCCAGAAGATTACCTTGAAGAGAAGATCTGGTGGGCGCAGGTTCACATTAAAAGACCCTGAGGAAAGCAGAACAGATGCATGTAAATAATACATCCACTCTAGTGGCCAGTAGATCTGCACAGAAATCTCAGCATTACTTGATACAGACCCCGGAAACTGGGTTTTGATGGCATTGTAATGATTTGTTATGAAACACTTGTGTCTTGACTGTTTTCTCTGTGCTTTTCCACGAATTGATGTGTGCTCACTTGGAAAACTGGGACCCCAATTTAACATGAATTCAATCAAAATCAGTTGTTGGGTTGTTGATTACGTTGCCTGCACAAGCACCATCAAACCACAGTCGCACAAAACAGATTCTTTGTTAAACTCAAAATAATACTAAATATTAATCTATTAATATTTTTTCTTTTAAAGTTAGATGGTTGCTTGTGTTGTAGTTAATAGAGAAATACACGTAACTCGTCAGAGATACACTGAAGATTTGAATCCAAGATTTAAAAAAATAAAATAAAATAAATATACTTCACTTGGAGAAACAAACTTGTTCACTTCTTAATCACAAACAGGAGAAGAAAATCAACTCCTAAATCAACTGTTAAAGGTGAATTCAGAGCTGATTATACGCACCTACTAGTACTTCCAAAGCCCATTACTAAACATGCTGAATCTCATTTGTTTAATCAGAGAACTTGTGATTTTTAGGGAGAGCTGCATGTTTTAACAGTTCTTTTATTTTATTATTTATTTATCTGCCAGGAAACCAGCAGAGATTCCTGATTCTACTTCCTCCTGTTTTCAGATTTCATGCTAAGCTACGCTAATATTCGCCCCATGGCTCCACCTCCATACCTAATACACAGTCATGAAAGTGGGTCTACAGAGTATTTACCAAAATTAGTTTACCAATCTTTAAACACGCGTGGCTCAAATATACACAACATCAAATTGTAGTCGAAATGCCAAACGTGTCAGGAAACTGTGTAAAATGGTGCATGGCATCATTCCATTTGATAGAATGTGTGTGTAACAAACATGGGCAGTCTTGTTTGTGTATTTGAAGAGAGATAGATGTTTTTTTCCCTTCAACTTTAAAGCTGTAAAAGAAGGAAAATAAGTCATAAATAGGGGTGAGCCGATGCCGTTTTTTGGTCCCGATGTCAATTCTAATACTTGAATGCCAAATTTAAGGAGGCCTGGATTTATTGTGGCTCTAAAAAGTGAGTTGTTGGCCGTCAGTGACTTGATAAATATCAGTGATAATTGACTGACAGATGCTGTTTAACGTGAACTACACTATACCCAGGTAATCATATATCAGTAGATAAGATCCTTTCTCCTGATACAGATTTATCTTCTATGAGTTCCCAGTAGGTGGCAGCATTGATCAGGAGCAACACCAGGGTTTACTGTCAGACTTTTGCCAGACTCAACTCGAGAATAGTCGATTCTAAATCTTATCTATCAATAAAGAAAGACCTTGTATTTTAGCAAGGCCTCCGCAAACACATAATGTGCTTCCTTTTTAAAAAAAAACAACAACAACAATGCAGCCACTCCGCAGTTCATTTAGGGCGCTTGCACAAGTACGCAGAGAGAGTGGGATGACCCTGAATCCCCTTTTAGATCAATATGCTGTGGGAGAGATGTGCTGTTTGGAGAGAGGGAAAAAAAAAGGAGACATTTTAGCTGAAAAAAACTGGCAGCGTATTCCAGGAGAGGTTATGCAGGTTACAACACGGGCTTTCTCTTTTGTTTTGTGTCGGTGCAGATTATTTACACAGGTACATGGCTGAAGGTGTGTTGAAATTAGAGACAATTCTGATGATGGAAACAACAAAATTTAAAAGATTCTGAAGCATGTTTGATAATGAGTTGGATTTGGGCTAAAATGCATGAATCCATTCTTGTGGTGTTTGTCGTCCTGCTGTGGCAGAGCTTAAACTGTGTGATAATATCTTACAACCTAATGAGGTGAGCGAGGGAAGCCTGAGGACAAAAACGGCGAATTAATAAGCACAAAGAGAGACGCTGTATGTTTTTTTTTTTTTTGCGTGTAGGCAGATGTGAGTAAAACTGTGTTTCTTTACACCGACCCACGCTCTTAAATTAATATCGCATTCCTGGAGAGGCTGTCGATGCACTATGATCTCAGGCTTTCAAGTGTGAAATTAGCTCTGGTAGGATATGACAGGCAGACAGAGGCATGTCACTTTTCTTTTTCATGAATATCAGATCAACAGCTTTGACAACTACTTTAAGCGTTACAAGGTACATAATATGTTGTGTATTCGAGGGGGTGGAATGATGCAGAATCAAGGGAGCGGCGTCCACTTTCTTAGCTGCACAAAAACACAGTTTGATGCTGCAAAAAAAATACAATGCGTGCGCAGGTCTATTTTTGCATTCAGGAGCACATATACACGCAAATACACACACAAAGACAATGCTCTGGTCAATTTGTTAATCATGATGGAAGTGACTGTTAGACAATATGAGGAAATGTCACTTTCAACTTTCATTTACCTCAGTGGCTCCAAGCACTATGCGCTGTCTGTCTGTCTGTCTGTCTGTCTGTCTGTCTGTCTGTCTGTCTGCGTTTGAGTGTGTGTTTGTCGTGTTTGTGTGTGGGAGAGAGAAAGCCGTCTGAATGTGTCTTGGCCTCCTGAACTGCAGATGAATAGGTCTCTTCTTAGTGGCTGGTATTTTCACATGCTATTTTCCCTTCTGGACAGCCACTTCAATATGATTACATGACTGTGTGAGTAATGAGTGTGACTGGGATACAGAGCAGAGCGAGGTGGACATAAAAACACGGCCATTCCTTCATTTTGCTCTCCGTCCATCTCGGCTTGTTAGTCTGATTCTCCGCATTGTAGCTGGTTTCAAAAGATAATTATATGACCATGGTGACTATTTGCTACAAGCTGAGCTTTGCATTGCAACGGCTCTAAATAACCAATGTTTGTATTTGTTCCTCAGTTCTAAGTGCAGGAAAAAGTAATTGTGCTTGATTAGAGGCTGCTGGTATATCAAGATCCCAAATGTCCTGATAATTTCTTTTTTATCAGTTTGCTAAAGCAGCAACAAATATCTCTGAGCTCTGTTCTAAGGCAATCAGTGTTTATGTTCTCTCCATTTTATGGTAAAGAAACAATTATTGTCTTAATTAGGCATTTACCAACAGCGAAAAAGCCCATCCACATGCACTTGTTTGTTAGAGCCAAAACCATAAAGTTATTTTGTTTACAATCATATAAAATGAGGTGAAAAAGCTACAGAATCTCAATCAGTATTTTGCATTTTTGTATAAAACTTGGCTTTTAATGGACAACTGACTCCTTAATCACTCGACTGATATTTTCAGTTTTACCTTGTGCCAGTGCAAATTATCCATTTTTTCACATACAGAACCTTTTCTCGGTGTAGAGCTCACCTCACCAACTCTCTCACACCAAAATCTAGTCAGGGGTTGGGCTGCTTTGGGGAAAAAAGAAAAGGGAATCTGCATCTGAAGTATCTCAAATAGGCTCTAACAGTGAAGTCTGCACAGACAAACACAGGTATGTGTTTGTGTCTCCCTCCCAGAGAGGGTCCGTAAACACCCAGACCACAGGCTCCTACAGAGAGCTAAAGGTGGGACACTGTTATCATGTTTCTGTGTCTTCTTTCTACACAATCTCAGGATAAAAGTGTCGGAAACACTGCGGACCTTCCAGTGGCCAGATTTGGCTCGTGTTTGTGTGTTTAAGTTCTGTGTGAACGTGGTCCATTTTTGTCCTTTCTGAAGTGTTTATGTTGAAAGCTTATAGTATAAACTGCAGAGGATGCGAAAGGCTCGGCTGCAAGACAATGGCATATAACCGTGGGAGGGTTGTGGTCCGTGGTCTCGCCCCCTCTGTTAAGAGAAATGTTTGCACCTCCTTCCTGAGGACAGCCACGCACACGTCTCACTATGAAACACAGGAACACCTTAACAAAACAAGGCATCCTGTTATTCTCACTAATTGGAAGAAGCGATGCCTATTCCGTGCCATGTAGAGCGCACACGCAATCAGCTCTCCCAAAACTCATACATCCTGTTTCATTACACACCAATAAATATGATTAATATGTCTTGATCCGAAAGGACAGGAGCGTTATTGCCCTCGCACTTTGCTTTCAATGAAACCGTAACATGCAGCTATTTTTAGAAAATTGACTTGACATCCCAGAGACCCTCGCCTTCACCCCTAATGCCCTCTCTCCCCTCCAGCTCTGCTCTGCCACCTCCTTTCTTCCTCATCGCTCCGACACGTAGCACTCTCATTATTTTTCCTCTTCAAAAACCATTTCAATTATCCTAGGAGCACAGGGGCTGGCCAGCGCAATGGAACAAAAAAAAAAAAAAAGAAAAGAAAGATGTACGAGCTTTACACTGAACACAAAGACAACAGTAGTTCTTCCAAAAATACATGCACAAGGAAACAATAGTTAGCACCTCAAAGAGTCGGTTTCTCTCACATTCGGGCACACTGCTTGCTAAATGTGAGGCCTTCACAGGACGTTAGTGCCTGAGCTGGGTGTTAAAGAGCTGCGGGAAAATGTGTGCAATGGAAGAACGTGTGAAGCCCACTGAGGACGAATAATTCTCTTTGGCTGAGTTGGAAGATGAGAACAAGAGAAAAGGCTCACTGAAACGTAGCTGAATCCCTCCACTTGTTCATCATGTTCCCCTTAAATGTATCCCTAAGATAAGAAAAAGCTCAACATTTCCCCATGTTTTACGAAAAGGTTTTAAGCCTAATATTTATACATTTCTATGAATTTATCTCTATGTAGAACTGAAAAAGTTTGTCAATTAACCAAATTTATCACCCATTGTTGTTTCCAGTCATTTTCCAAGCAATGCAGTTCAATCAATATTCATTTTATCTAACTTAATATATAGTTTATATATTTAGATATGAACCAAGTGAACTGCTACACATGAAATTTTCTTTTCTTTTAAATAAATATTGTAATATAGGAAACTTTTTGAGAATCAAATGCTAAACTTTGTATGGATAAAAGAACCGCATGACCATTTCTTCTGTTTTTGTCTAATAAAGTGAATCAAATCAAGAAGTGGCACCATAATGTTTCTAAAATCTAGTTTTGTATTCAACCAAAGAATATCTTGTTTGATTGAAATCATACCTATTCTTTAACAAATCAATTGGTTGGCGGGGAAAAATAAATTACAGGTCGTCTCTAGAATAACTAAAACTCTTTGCTAGCTTTATTAGCCCAAATGAATCAGAAATAAACATTAAAAACTAATCATTTCTTGCACATTGAATCATTTTAACATGCTTATTTTACACTGAAATGAGTAGACCAAAGTGCACTTGCTGATATTCATATGATTTTCTTTATTAACTGGAGATCCCAGCAGTGGTACTACTAAGGAAAATAGCGCTAGCAAGTTATCTGCTGGTTTTAGATGGTCTGCTGTGCTGGTTGTTGAGCTGCGATTTACAAACTGCTTTTTGCAAAGTTGAAACTCAACTTTTTGGCCATCTGTTTTAACAAAATGCAAAATGACTTGATGTTTGTTAAGCTGGAGTCGACTCTGGGTGAATGTTCTATCTATTGGGTCGGGTGAGTTCAAAGTTGTGAAATAGTTTCTCACAAGTAGTTGCTCCTCCCACTGCTGAAGATAATGGATCACACCTGGAAGACTGTTGATGTTGCACTTTCCTATTTATGAAAATGACACCAGTGACTGTCCAACCATTGACAATTTGGTCAGATATGTGCATATCAACCAACTCATTGATCTGGCTACTACAGCGCTACAGAAAGCTAATTTTGTGCACAAAAGCCTAAAAACACTCATAAACCTGCTGCTTTGGAATAAAAAAACAGTCAAAATCTCTGAGAGCAGACACCTTTTGATAGTTTATATGTTTCATGTTGCATAGATTTGCTTGGGAACACATGAGGTTTGAGATTAGTGTCAAGAAAAAACATTATTTGTATTTTAAAATGAAGACTCTGAATTTCTGCGCTGATTATTGCTGTGTGTTGAAGTTGTTGTGGTGTCATTTGTAATATGATAAAATAACTTTAAGTTCACATATGGCACCCAGAGTGACAACTCTGCTGGCTTTGACGACGCTCAGTGAGTGTGTGGGACATTTTGGGCTGCTTTTAATCCCAAGAAAACTGGCCTGGAGAAGCACTTACTTAAAAACCTTGATGTACTGTTTATAATCCTGAGGTCTGTATACCTTACTTTGCTCCAAGTTAAAGGCGTAGAAGGAGACGTGATGCTTTTAGAACCTGAAAAGGAATGACTCAAACCGTGGGAATGGTAGGTGACTGCTTGCCATTTATGTACAAAAACAAAAACAAGGTATTTTCAGAATTTAGAATCAGATAGGTGAGATCAGCTGTGAAGGGGAGGGCCCTCGCGTTTCTCGGAGCTGCACAGAGTTTACGATTGACATGCTGGCAGCATCCAGCCTCACTTTCATCTTTGTAGGGTTGCAATTGTTTAGAAATCTGCAGTGATTGAAGAGAGAGAAGCATCTGCAGCCACAATCACTCAGGACACACATGAACATACTTGCATACGTGCACATAAACACACACAAACCAGCCAAGCAGAACCCCCACATTCTTTACATATCAGTGACAGAAGGCCGAGGAAAGTGCAGGGTAATAACAAGTGTGAAACAGGAAATCCCGCTCCGTGGGTGGAAACTAATGAATGCTCGGGGAGCAACGCAAGGAGGGTGCTGCCGTCCTCTCAGCCTCCTAGTATTTTAGGTTCAGATGTAAGTCACACCAGCCAGCAGAGACACAAGCTTCAACTGAAAAACAACACCTCCTACAAATCCCCTTTGAAAGCTGAGGAGGCATAGTGTGCCAGTGCCCTGCTATGACACGGTGGCGGATTCGTAGCTGCGCTTTGGGGAATCCACAGAAAACAACTTGTTTGTTTTACCTCCATGCATCCCTGAGGTCAGTTAAAATGAAATAAAGCTGGATGGTGCTTTGTCACGACGTATCAGTATGCAGCACCAGACACTGTAAAGACAAACGCACCCTTGAAGGGGAGGGGGGGGGGTTTCTTGGCAGTTTGTTCTGTAGTGTTACGTAAAGAGGCCCTTCCTTAAGTCCAAACTACAAATCTACTCTTTGAAGCCTCTCAGAAATCTTGGGAAATTACACTGGGTATAAACTTTTGGTATCTCACTGAAAACGCCTGGAGGTGAAATAATCCCTCCTGTGTGACGCGGCGTAGTGATTCTGCCTCAGGTTGTAATGTGTGTGTGTCCGTGTGAGGATGTGATGAGCTGCAGCTCCAAGCCGGGGGCATAAACACACTCCAATATGACCACAATTAAAAGAATACACACACACACATGCACATGCTGGTACAAACACACACACATGTGTAGTGAAAGCCTGCAGCATCCTGAGTGATCAATGCCTCGACAATCGGAAATTCATTCAGCTGATGATCTACAATACACCCTGCTTAAAGTTCAGAGCGCCTTTTCATCCAGCCACTGAATAAATATTGAATCCTGCCACCACACAGCCTGTGGCGTGGGCACATCACTTAATATATAGTTTAATTTCCATTGCATTTTGTTTAGACAGCGGCGTGTTGAAGGCTTGGCAGTGTCAGCTTCATCAGGGAGGCTCCGGTGGCCCCTGAAATAACAGAGCAGAGCAGAGGGAGGCCACCTACTCTTCACTTGGCACAAAGAAAGAGTGTATTTTTTTTGTTGTTGTGGTGAACCAACACAGCAAAGATAACACTGATAAAATTTGAATAGAAGAATTCCTCCTTAAAATCACTTATGAGCCCTGAATCCAGCCACTATCACATCAGTGATGCCAGTAAACGTCTATATGATGAACTGTCATATAAACTAACTTAATAACATGACCAGATGCTGAGGTCAGAGAAATAACATGATGAGATCCACTCCTGCTGCTTCCCATATTGTTGCAATTAAATATGGGTGCTAGTTTTTATTCCAACCATTTATAAAGACAACTGCAGTATATTAAAGTTTTTCTCAAAGGTTTGGTGGCATTTTCAGGGCAGTAAAATCTACCCAGGAGACTCTCTGCAGTGCCAGATATATGATTTAGACTACAAGCTCTCCAGCAGCCCTTACAGGCATCACAGGCATTTAAATGGCAGCAATATATTTTCTGTAGGTCCCATTAACTAACTGAATATAATGAAGTTTTAAAAAAAAAGAAATTGGATTTGGGTTGTGAGGGGAAACGGGGGAAGGGGTGTATTTGTGTTTGAATGAAGTCACCCACTTAACCTACCTATGGGTAAGGCGAGGAAGAAGGGCAGCCAGCAGAGGGTAAACATGCCGACTACAACTCCTAAAGTTTTAGCCGCTTTCTTCTCCCGGGAGAATTTCAGAAGTTTCACGGTGAGGGAACTTCTCGCCTGGTGCGCTCGGCCCTTGCCAGTGCCCGAACTGCCGGAGTCCTCATTGACCTGAGAGCCCTTGTGGATCCTGAGGGTCAGCTCGCTGGAGTTCATCCTCTCACGCATCACACCTGCCTCCAGGTTCTTAGTGGTCCGTTTGGCGACGATGTACACGCGGCAGTACATGGCCAGAATAACGACGAGCGGGATGTAGAAGGAACCGAGGGAGGAGAAGAGCGCGTAAAACGGCTCCTCGGTGATGGGGCACTCCGTGTCGTCCGGCGACGGCGGCTGCTTCCACCCGAACAGAGGTCCGATGGAGATGACCACCGACAGCACCCAGACCCCGAGCATGGCCAGCAGAGCCCGCTTCTCCGTCACGATCCCCGGGTACTGCAGCGGGTGGCTCACTCCGATGTAGCGGTCGATGGATATTACGCACAGGCTCATGATGGACGCGGTGCAGCACAGCACGTCCACCGCCGCCCAGATGTCACAGAAGATCCTGCCGAACACCCAGTAGTCTAGGATCTCCAGAGTGGCGGACACCGGCAGCACCGTGGTGCTGAGCAGCAGGTCGGCGATGGCCAGGTTGATGATGAAGTAGTTGGTCGGTGTCCGCAGGTGCCTGTTGCACACCACGGAGAGAATAACGAGGATGTTGCCGGCGATGGCAAAAACGATGAAAGCCCCCAGTACCAAGCCGAGCGGGATGGCTCGGGTGAGGTCCAGCTCGCTGGGCTCGGTGTGGTTCCCCCCTGAGCTGTTGGTGAAGTTGACCTGGGAAGACGCACCGTCGAGTTCCGAGGAACCATTTTTCCATAAGTTTGTGACATTGTCAGTGCTCAGACTCATTTTGACTCACCAAGTCCTCCATAGCAGGCTTCAGATCACTTGTAACCGCAACTCAAGAAAGCGCTTAACTAAACACAAACGAACTGCCCAAAACGGGGTTATGTCCGCATGGCTGAACTACGAGTTTGCAAGTTGGAGTTGATGTTTTTTGCCCAGACAGAGGCGTTCATCGTGCAGCCGTACAGTCCCCATGCAGTCCCTCTCTCTCCACTCTCCTGAAGGCTCAGTGGAGAAGTGAGGGGGGCAGCAGTCACCTCCTGCCTCCTCTCCTCCACGCACAGCTTTGCCATACACTGACCAACCATACCTACACACAAGCTTCTCAAGTGCGCATGACGCGCAACACGGGGAGCCTCGACTGCTCGGAAAACGCATGAAATGTTTTTGCATCATTTTTACGCAACTTTGCAGAACGCTGTGGGGAATTGTGCGTTTTGGGAGAAGCGCTTCGTTGGTGCCTTGTATTTGTTTTTCCTGGCAGGGGGGAGGGCGCTTCACTGGACAATTACAAGTTGTGTGCCACAACCACAGTAACCTTGTTCCAGTTATTGTCATTCCCTTGTTTGCGTGTCGGCAACATGCTTTAAAACCACTGGAGAATAAGAAATTAAACAATTTAGAATCAAGCCTCCCTGAGCCACAAGTCTCAGTGTAATTAACCCTAAACATATGATTTATGTGTGAAGATATCCAAGCAGGCAGCTTAAAAGGTTAAGCCTGAAAGGTCAACTTGATTAAAAGTAGGTAACAAAGCACATACAATCCTTTCTCCTGTTTCTCGGGAATCAGATTCCTATTTTGGTCAAATGCAGGAGTTCCTTAAAGTAATCTCGTTTTGGATGTGAGCTCAGTTCGCCAGGAGTGGCTGATTAAATGTGCCGAGTTCAGACACAAGCACATTCCTGAAACTGAGATTCTTCTTCTATAAGAGCTTTTTAATACATCTGACTGGAGTCCCAGCCATTAGGATTAGCAGAGGTGGCCTGCACTTCAGAGATTCAACTTTTAAATAGCAGATGTTTAATTTGCTCACTGGAAACATAATGCACACTTAAATTGCATTCACATCTTTGCGTTGCTCCATGGAAGCTTCATGGCTTCATGTTATGGTGTGATAAAAGTCTGGGATGTCTGAGGATCATTTATTTAAAATCAGCATGTTTGTGTGGTTACTGTCAGGATGAACTCTCCACTGTTCCTCTAGTAATATGAAACCCCTCCATAAAGACAGTCTTGTGATGGTGTGCAGAACTGGAGAAACACATTCTGCACAAATTATGTAAAAAGAAAAAGAAAAAAAAGTGCTGTTTTTTTAAAAGATGTATTTCATTATGATTAATGGTGTACCTAATAAAAGCAGAATTATCATAAAACTGAACATTAACAGGTTCTTCACAGCTAAAACTGTAAAATTACAGCTTCAACCTCTTGCATATTCAGAAGACTTAATAGCATCCATCTCCTTAGAAATTCACAGAAAAACCAAACAAAGAGCAAACGGGGGAAGTAAAAGTGTTTAATGGGTTTACAGGACACAATTCCAAAGACCAAAATTGCTTTTCAGCCTAAAAAAAAAGGGTCACTGTGACATTTATTTTCTCTGTTCTGAGGAGAAATGGTTGACTCATGTTGTGATTAAAATTTGAAATGAGCAAGGGAATAGAATTGAAAACCCCCAAAATTCTCTTAAAACGGATAGAAAGTGTGAATTTTAATCACTTCTCTGTATGTCTCCTTCTTGTTTTTATGTAAGTTTTTCAGTGCAGAATCTCTACTGGTTTGCACTTCTTAGAATGTTTTTATCTCAGGATTTCAAACCCAAGAAATAAGAAATAATAAGCGACAGTGTATTTCTTTTTGCTGTCACGTCCTATAGGTGGTTATGACTGTGAGATGGCATCATATCCCTTATGGAAATCAGGTCGGTTCAGTCAGTGACATCTTTTAAATAGCTTCTTAAAACATACTTTTATAGGAGAATCTTTCATTATTTTGTTTGATTTTACTTTTCTTTAAACTGTCTTTCATTTCTTTCAATTACATTTTATTTTTTTTTAACACTGTTGCTTTTATTTGCCACACTGTGTTTTTATCTGTCTCTTAACTCCTGATGATTTCATGCTGCCTTGTGAAGCTCTGCTTTTGAAAATTATTATTATTTATTTGCTGTATAAAAAGTCCGTCCTCCTCAGAGGGCCACTAACAGAAGACAGTCTTCAGTCTTTTGCATATTTTTGCTAACTAGTTAAACAACCTCAGTTTCATCTCTGTTTGAAAGCTAGCAAAAGACCCTCGGAGGTGAACATCTGCTTAAAGTGAATAACTCAACCCAAACAAATTAAAGGATAGGATTCATGCAGGCCCCTATTTTGATCTTCAAGGCTCAGTAAGACCCTCAAATCAAGAGATTCCTAATTTTTCACAGTGAGGGGCAGCATTCCTACGGAGAGGATAAGGAAATAAGACGCTCACGCAGTATCTCAATCCCTCAACAGGCACCAGACTGCTCAGGTATTTATGAGCATCCTTCTTTAAAAGATGAATCACCTGGAATTATCTCATTTCATATCTACGGCTGGATTTTAGAGCCGGGATAAAGTGCATTTCACTGGCCATTTCACTTGATTGAATACACCGAGCTTCAAATAACATAAAAGCTGCTGCTGCTCAGCGTGCTGCCAAGTGCTCCGAGTGAGAGGAAAGTTTTTCTTTTGTTGGAAACTTAACTTCAGCAGGAGCATCCTCCGTCTTTCCGTGTGCTTCTGTGGTGGGGATTTGCCTTGAGTTCAAGAGGATCAACATTTCTTCTTGGCAGGAACAAAATATATAAATCTTGGACCGCATTCCTTTAAGACAAGAATGTGATTTCTTTTTAAAGACGTGGCTTCTGGTGCCCTGCAGCAATTTTTTGTTATTTTAATGAATTTAACATTAATCAAATAAACCTAAAGAAGACGTTTTGTACAGACTGTAGATAAAGACATTCTCTCATTTAGAGTATTTTGTTTTGTAATGTCAAAGGTTAACGCCTTCTTATTTTGTTTCTCGAAGTTATTTTGTTAAGGATTGAGTGTCGAGTTGGAGAAGGAAGTTTTGCTTCAGTGTGACGTGTCCTGTTATGGCATTAAACAGCTCAATGGAGTTCAATTAGCTTCTGGCCAGTGTCCAGATGCTCCACATTAAAGTGTTGGGATTTCGCCATCTTGATTTAAGACTTTTCCTGCTGTGAAGAATTAAGAAGTGAGAGGTCAGGGTCTGTCTGGTCAGAGGTCAGGGTCTGCATTTAACCTTGTGCTGCTCAAACTGATGTGATATGGTCATGGTGAAGCTCTGTGTATTGACACCACATGTTGCGTACTATGCGCTTCAATGACAGAAACTAGCTTTTGATCAACACACTGAGCTCACAGGAGTGATTTAGGAACAGTGTCTAGTGACCCGTTACAGTGTCCTGTGGTGTCTGGCACCAGGCGGCCGATCCTGTGGGTCCTCTGGGCTGTGGGGTGGGGCCTCCGTGGATCGGGTTTGTTCCATCCTACAGATGCTTGACAGAGTTGAGATTTGGGGAATTTGCCTTGTTCTCTTGGTCATATTCCTCGAGCTGTTCTTGTTGCATTATCCTGTCCTTGGTTTGGACCAGTGTTACGTGTCAAAATAACATCTACATGAACGCCAGGACCCGAGGTTTCCCAGCAGAATGTTGTAAAAAGATGACTGGTGTTTTTCACTTGACTTGTCAGTGGTGTTAATGTCGTGGCTGAATATTTTATGATAAACATGCATTAATTCCCTTGAAAAGCAGTCATGTTCCTGAAATTTCTGTAAAAACAGAAGGTGGCTTTTTATTGGACTGAATTTAATGTTTCACTTTTTTTTTTCTGTGGAATTGAACACAAACAAGCAAAAGCGTACTTCAGAGAGACAGAGCTGCATGACAAATTATTAAGGAAGAAGTTTATGTAACAAAGTTTTTCATTTTAGGATAAAGCTCCTCGTATACTTGCTTCGGATGTTTTTATCCCATCGATAGATACTTGCCAGCTGGTAGTGAAGCCCACACACACACTCAATCTATAGCAGCCCACCTGGATGAGTGGGCTTCAGTGGTTTGGTCGTGTCGTCTCTCCCACACCATATATGGCTGATGTTGTGTAATATGCAGAGACCCAGAAACTACTTTTTGTTGTATAACTGCTTTTTTTATTTTTATTTTTTTGGTACGAGTAATGTGATTTTGGAAAAATACACTCATGGAGCCAAGAACCAAAGATAGAGGACGTGATTAGCTCCTTCCAGGTTTGTCGCCATTTTCTCCAAGCCAATGTCTTTTTTTTTTTTTTGTTCACCAAAGCATTGATCAACAGAATACATTCCATCATGATGTGTCACACCGAGAGGAAGTTTCATTTCAGAGTCATGTCTGCAAAAATACCCTCTATGAGTATACCTGCAGCTATTTTAGGGAGCATTTTTTTCCTCCAGCAAGGTTAATAATACATTTTAGCTTAAATTCCTTCATCTTTTGCTCACTTCCTGTATCACTGCTAATAGAATCCAATAAAAACACATACTAAGTCATGCAAGTGTTGTGACTAAGAATATATCTTTGGAATTTTCATCTTTGTGTACGTACAGCCTGAAAAATCCTGAATAACAGAGAGAATCCTGGAAATGAAAGTGTATTGCTTATCGCGAGCGTCGTCTCGCTTCTGGTTGTCAGGGTCATGTAATAATAAGATTTGGCAGTTTTTAATTCCATGTTGTCTCTAGTGCTGAGTGAAAAGAGTATGCGGGGGAGAAAAGCACAAAGAAAGAAAGTCGACAAAAGAGATTAATTAACATGCTTGCTCAGTAGGCATCATATCAGTGTCTGTGTGTTTAACTGACCGAGGCTAAAGTGATCCATAAGACTGCTGGTTGGAGACAGTCTCCTCCACCTGGATGACTGTGGCTTACTCAGTGAAACCTGGCGCGACTTGTTTGGATGTCTATGGGCTTTGCTGTGCTTAGTATCAGCTACTAATGAACGTATATGACCGTGGAAGTGAAAATGTTGCTTTTATGGAAACCAACCACTCTCGAAGTTGCATTAATCAACATTTTAGTATCGATCCCGGAGCAAATGATCATGTGTAATGTGAAAAAGGTTTCCCACTGTGGTGAATATTCACCTAGCTCTGGAGTTCCCCTCTGTTTTATGATGCTTTTGAGTGTCTTTCAGCTCATTATTTTGGTCCCACAGCTGGTACCTTCCATTTACTGTGGAAAAAAAAAACAGAAAACATTTTTTCATATGTATCAAAGTGAGCAATGCTATTCTCTCTTAACACCTCGCTCTCTTTTGGAAAAACAAGGAAGGTCCCGT